CCGGCGATCCTGAGAGGCGCCGGGCTGGGCATCGGCCAAGCGCTCTGTCCCCGCCTAGCTCGACCGGCGGCCTGCGGGGAGGGGCGCGCCCGCCCTCGGAGAGGGTCCTCCTGCCTTTCGTCCCGTTCCCCTTCGCTTCCTGGCCAGACGCCTGCTTCCTCCCTGGACGGCCGGGTGCTGGCCGCCTGCCCCACTGCCCCCACTTCCTGTGTCGGGTGTCCCCGGCACACGCCCGCAGCCCTTCTGGCCACAACTCTGTCCCCGGCCCCTGGCACCCTGGCTTGGTACCTGGTGCCTCTGCAGCTGCCCGCCTTGGAAAGGCGGCAGGCAGCGGTGGGCAGTGGCAGGCAGAGCTGGCTCTGTTGCCGGGCTGATGGTGGCTGAGCCCTTTGCCCTGGGGCGAGGAGTCCATCTCTGGTCCCCAGTTTCCCCGAGGCCGGAGGTGGGTTGTTGGCTTGGGCGGGCTGCGTCAGGGGTGTTTGCAGATGCTGTGGGCCAGCACCCTTGTGGGCCCCCGCGCCCTGGGCCCTGCCTGCTGCTGTCCCTGTGCCCTGTGTCCGAGCGAGCGCAGGGGCGGGTTGCTGGCCTGTCCGAGCTGGCCTTGCTGCGTCACTCAGCCTGCGGCCCTGGTGGCCACGGTGCTGGCTGGCCTCGCAGGCTGGCCGGGGCTTGGGCTGGGGGTGCTGGCCGCCCTCCTGCTGCCTCTGCTGCGGGCGTCTGCCCGGGGGTGGCAGGCTGGGCCAGCCAGGTCTCCGCCCAGGCCCCAGGGGCAGGCTCAGGCAGTCACAGGGGTGGGGTCCTGGCGCTGCGGCCGGGCCCCCTGCAGCCCAGCTCGCCCAGCTGCTGGACTTCCCCACGCAGGAGGCCAGGGAGCAGGTGGGCTGAGGCTCGCCCCCCAGTGCCAGACTGCCTGCTGCACGCCCCGCCTGGCCGGGCAGGGCCCTGGCGGGAAGAGGCTGGCGGTGTGGGGAGCTGAGGGGGTGCAGGTCGACAGGCCGGAGCCCGCGGCGCAGGCGCCTGCTTCCCGCAGATGGGGTGACCCACCCCGCGCTCCCTGCAGAGGCCCGCTCGGCTCCCCAGGGCGCCCGCGCGCACGGCACCATGTCGACCTCCTCGCTGCGGCGCCAGATGAAGAACATCGTGCACAACTACTCGGAGGCCGAGATCAAGGTCCGAGAGGCCACCAGCAACGACCCCTGGGGCCCGTCCAGCTCCCTCATGTCCGAGATCGCTGACCTCACCTACAACGTGGTCGCCTTCTCGGAGATCATGAGCATGATCTGGAAGCGGCTCAACGACCACGGCAAGAACTGGCGGCATGTCTACAAGGTGGGGGGCGCCGCCCGGGAAGGCCTGCGGGGGGCGGGGGCCGGGCCGCCCCGGCGCTCAGCCACCCAGGCGTGGTGAATTCG